GGAAAGTGGGGAAATAGTCTGCAAATTATGTGCTTTCTGTTCAATGTAGTATAAATATTTTTCTTTCTAAATTTTATCTGTGCAGGTTGTTTTTTTTTTTTTCAAAATCCACAACCCCCTTGAGTTTATTATGGTCAACCCTTTTTAAACAGTTTTTATTTATTTACTTATGTTTATTTATTTGCTGTTTACATATATCAACAGGTACATCACTTACAGATTGGGATAAAAGAACACAACTTACAAATAAGACAATACAAAAATGTTAAATCAACACAGCAATAAGAAATTAAAACGGCATAGCGTGGTTAAACTAATAAACTTAAACATAGACATAACACTAGTAAAGAATACGTATCATCAGCAATTAATTGAATATCAATTTGGTTTAATATATTTCTTTCTTAAAATAAGTTTGACTTAAAAGACAGCGGAGTAAATAACTTTGTATATAAACATGCCAATGAAGCTCCACTGCGCATACAACGACCAGGGTAGTAGTCGCAGTTTGTTTTCGTACCAGCTTGAGTGAGAGGATTTTTTTTTTTTCGATTTTCATGTCAGATTTTCAGAAATTGAAGCTAATAGGCTGAACAGAAACAGCTCGATAAACTATTAACAGTGAAACAAATGTATATATGGAATGCAATCACTACCCACCCCCACCAATGGAAGAAACGGAACTTTTGACTATAGGTTCTAACATAGTAAATTGGTGTTTTTCAGAAGTGGCGGAAATTATACGACAAGTTGCTTTTAGCTATCAATCTCCATCAAGCAAGGCGCTGTTGTTGTCTTTCAGCGACCAATTAACGTCATACAAATCATACTTTAATTTTGGATAAGAATTACTTGCGTTTTAGTATGGGGTACTTAAGAGAAGTATTTCTAATTTCCGGAATTGCAGACTCTGGTATTTGTAGCCGATTATTATTGGTTTTATGCAAATAGCAAATAAATAACTTGAAAATAGCCTTTGCACGTCAAATACAAACTAGCTGACCGTTCGACCTTGACAAAGTCAACCCGAGTCAAGATACTTTATTGTATTACAAACAATATCAAGAAAGATTATTACTATTACATACAGACTATGCAGAACAATGCCCGGTAAAGATACGCTTATATCACAGTATCTCTGAGGGACATACAAGCAAGCAGAGACAACTCTCGTCAAATCAGAATAATATTGTTAAAAAAATATGAAAAATTGAAGAGTGCAAGCAAAGACACTAGAGAAGTGTCTTTGGTGCAAGTGGGGTTTTCAATTTGACATTTGTTAGGACCTCCGAAGAAAATAAACAGTTGTGAGTAAATAGACAAAAGCGAAAAATACTTATAGCACTGATAATGTAAATGAACTGCAAAAAATGTGAATTTAACAATGGACCCCACTCGTATCCATATGAATAAACCCCTAGTGGCGAAGAGATGGTATACAAAATACTACGTACGTGACATCACGACGATACAAAGAGAGAGAGAATTAAAAAATGTGGCAGATAAAGTGAAAATAGCATGTTTTGTATCAAACAGAACGCGGCGCGACGACCACCACCCTTTAAAACATTAAACATACAGACATATTTCAAAACGAAACGATGGCACTGCTGCACGCGCTAGGCGAATGTGCGCACATGTGTAAAAAAAAAAAAACATACGACAAACGTGAAAATACGTACCCACTGAGAGTTCAAGTAAATCGATTTTGTTCACGACATTCAAATAAACATTGTATGGATAAATTATTGTGATGACTTTTTTTCTTTTTCATAAAAGAATCACGAGAAATATCTCTCCTCGTATCTCCGTACGACATTGAAAAATTGGGGCTAACTTCAAGCATGGAATTCGGAGAACTTACAGGTGTGAAGCATGAATCGCATTGTATGTCGATAGAGGGCGCAATTTTATGTTTGCTTTAGATACTTTCTAATGGAGAGGGTGTCAGTATTTTAATATCATAACTGACCTATAGATGGCGCTTTATAAGGGTATTTAGTGAAATGCTGTACATTATGAAGAAACAATTTTACAACTTCAAATATTGCAATACTGTTTCAATATGAAATACTTTTTTTTAAATATATTATCTATTATGTACTTTTTATTTTACTTTATCATTTACACAATGGTAATTTTGAAAAGTTTTGGTGATCATCAAAGCAGTTAAAATAATACAAAATACGATGTAATAAAAAAAATACTTAAAATAAAATACATGCTGTACACTACATGATTTTATCAGATTGGGTCATATAAAGAGTAATAATCTACTAGAACACTTCTTTCATGTTTGAGTGATTGACATATTTATAGTATACAAGTACACCAATAACAATCTTACAGTAAATTATTAATTAGCTGATCAATCAAAATTAATTGGCAATGTATTGGAATAAACTGTCCTTTAACTACATCTGTCTACCTGACCACATGGGACTCGTGACTATCGAAAACTTCCTCTTCCCCCCCCCCCCCCCATGCACCAAGGATGAATAATACGTGATAGAAGAGGTGTGGCAGATTGAACTGATCAATATTTACATACATATTTTTATAAATACAGCGTACAACATTCTAACGCTTAATGCAAGAAAATGTTTAAGCTGCAAACAAGGCTCATGCAATCTGTTGAAAATCTTGATTTACATAAAACAATATAAATGACAAAACATCATCTCTGTACTTCAGATAGTCCATTTATTCTTGATAATACATACACACTTCTTGAGAAACATTTACTTTATTTGAGCACATAGACAATATGTATATCAAAACGCATATAATACAGTGTCTAGAAAAGATTTATTTTACCTAACTATAGAGGGCAATGTATAGTTTGGAATGTTTCAAGTTTCAATAACAATGTTCTTTTAAATATTGCCAGTACAGATTTGAAGCACAATGACAACTTCATCACGTTCATTTAAAAAAAAGTAATTGCACGACACCTCTAATAGATATACATTGCTACATCAGGTACAGTACGTTGTGACAAAACGTTTGCATTTACATGCATCCCCAGCAATCAATAATGAGTGGTTTATTTACACAAAAGTTCCAAAGGTAAACGTAAACAACACCTTTAGACGGACTACAAGTTCATGATGGGTCCTGAATTTTCATAGCTTGATTTGTGAAATAAATTAAGGTTTTGATTTCATATTTAAAGTTGTTGTTTTTTTAAAAAGACTTATTTGATGTCTAAGAATAAATAGCAGGACATACATAAATTATTGAAATCATTGTTTTTGTTGCTGTGAATTTTCACGATTTCATTTAAGTCATGAGAAATAAATTGTATTCTTCTCTAGCGGCATTTGCTTCATTCACAGCGCTTCATTTTTGAAGCTGAAGTTCTATTACAAATGCATAAAGATATGAATCCTATCTGAGACTCACTTGAAATGAAGAACCAACTTAAAAAGTACTTGCATGAAAACCCAAAGTTCTAATATTAATATTGCAGCTATAAATATATATATATCTTTAAAATCATGGACAGGCAAAAACCACAAGTAGCTTTTAAAAGTGCATTGATGATATGATAGATCTGTTTTTTAACTATCTGATAGTATGCATACATAGAGGGGAAATGCACGAGATGTATGACAGTATTATTGATCACAGTAAATTCTGACGGTCAAAATAGCTCAGCTGTCTTCATTGTCATGGAACAAGAATCAGTAAAGTGGCATTGTGGTTGACGGTTTCTGACGAGTTGTCGAAAATAACATTGTTTACCAAAAATGAGAAAAATATTCACTAAAATTCTAAATTTGCATATTTTGACACAAATTTAACAAATCTGACAGTGGACCACCCCACATATCATTGCTGGAAATATGAAAGCATTTGAATTCACATAACAACCCAAATTATCTGCATTGTTAAGTGCTATAAAACAAATTAAAACAGCTAATTATCTAATATACCAATAATTCTGTGAACGAAAACATTTGCATAACACTAAGAGAGGGCACTTCTCCCAAATCGAGGTCTCCTCTTCGAATCCATAGATTCAGAACAAATGTAGGTACATAAGTTACGTTCTTCAACTGTTGGTAGAAATGTGGTTTGTTTATGTAAACAGCACATATTAGAAACAAAAAAACAAACAAAACAAAAAAATATATGGCAGTTGCAAGTACCCCGATCAATAAATCTGTACAGTGTGGTACTTCAATGAAGTATTCAAGTTTCTTGGAAACTTGTCATATCCCAAATTGACATTCATATCACTGTCATCAAAGTGAACATCTTGCAACAAAAGTGAGCATCTTGCAACAAAAGTGAGCATCTTGCAACAAAAGTGAGCATCTTGCAACAAAAGTGAGCATCTTGCAACAAAAGTGAACATCTTGCAACAAAAGTGAGCATCTTGCAACAAAAGTGAGCATCTTGCAACAAAAGTGAACATCTTGCAACAAAAGTGAGCATCTTGCAACAAAAGTGAACATCTTGCAACAAAAGTGAGCATCTTGCAACAAAAGTGAGCATCTTGCAACAAAAGTGAACATCTTGCAACAAAAGTGAACATCTTGCAACAAAAGTGAGGAGAAATAAATAAATCTAAAAAGTCTTGTATTCATAGATCAGACTGAACTGATTGAATTGTTTTTACACATGATCAACAACTTTTGTTTTGGTACTGGCTCGCTGTGGCGACATCTCCACTTCTTGCAGAAGGCACCAAACCAAAGATTACTTATACATAGTTCAAGTAGAAAGTTCTGTATGCAGCATATCAAGGGATAAACTCTGCATGGTGAAACAAAATCACGGTTCAAATCTATATGTAAGTAGAGTTAAGGAATATAGTACACATATATATAGATAGGAAACAATTTAATCCGATGATTTAGTGGTGCAACGCCAAAATTTACCGAATACCCCGGTATTGCTTTGACTCATTGTGTTAAGCAACACAACAAGATTTTCACTCTCACCAACTACTGACTTGTGATAGATTGTTTGTTTGTTTGTTTGTTACAAAATTAGTATATTACAGCATTTAATAATAAAGGATATGACAAATAGTCTAATCTCTGTGTGAGGGCGCCAGTCAATATAAACTCAGCACTGTGGACATCTGAAAGAAACCAGCAAACCATACCACAATTGAACTAGAGCAAGATTTCATACTCATTAAGCTTGAGGGTGATTAGATATAAAGTTTCAACAGTTATTGTAACTACAAGAAATAGAGTTAATAACGGGGATGACAACAAGACAGACATTTTTATTTTTCGCATATAATTTTCCCTTCATTAACATTGAGGGCAAGAAAGGGAAAAATAATCAAGTAGATATTTATTATAGAACACTAGAATAGGGAGACCTGATTCGCTTTTCTGGGTAATCTGAACTGCCAGCACATAAAATATCTAACTCACCGACGTTATTCCTGATGAAGTCTCGACACAGGGGTATGTCAGAATCGCATGATATCACAACAAATAAAGGTCTTCCATTAGTATCCTTCATGTTAGCGACAGATCTTAAAGACGGTTTCTTATCCAGCAAGATACCACCCCCGCACTCTACAATGTCTCGTACTTGATCTGCAGTCGGCTGTACACCAGGCGTTACATACAACGTCATTCCCTGAATAATTGTATTTACAGTAGAATATCAACTTCCTGATAATTTTATTAAACTCAACACGACTGAACTCACAAAGAAGGTTGGACATCAAAACATTTTTTTTAATTGCCAGCTTTATAATTACAACACTTCAAGTAAAACTCCTTGTGAATTATAAACACAATATTGACTCCATTAGAACATTTTGATGTGAACTAAATATCACATTTGAATACTTTGCTAATAAATTGTGCATGCATAACTCGGACAGAGATAGAAGCAGAAGCAAATTATTGTCATGGAGGAGGTGCCTCCTCACCCTCACCCACACCTACACCTACACCAGAGTACCCTCTAAGCAAACATGGCACTGACAACTTTCTCCAGGAAAGTCAAGTAAAATATCAATTTTGTTACCATATGACATTAAGCATAAACTTTCACAAATAAGGACATTTTACTGCGCAACATGATGAGGTCACTGAAATTAGATGAAATACTACCCTTTTCACATTCAGTAGATCATTGTATTGGGTGTCCTGTGACTCATCAATATTCACAAATCCAATATTTACCTTGTAAATATTGTCACTTTGAGGTTAATAATTAAACCTACAGTATTCACAGCATAAGAATGCAGCAAATAAGAACTCACTTGAAAGACTTTAATTTGAGCAGATCTCAGCAACGATTCAGACAACTTAAAGGAAAACTGTTCTTCAACTTCATTATCAATCAATGCAAAGTCCCTCTCATCTGTAATAACAAAAACAGAAATACAGCATAACTATTACAACTTTATACATTGAACCTTACATTAACCCTTATCTGGTCAAGTCAATATAAAAGTACATAGGGCTGGCAGGCTATGGTTAAATAAACAAGCCATGCAAGGCACAGTCCCAGTTAGTTATCATATTTAAGATATATAGTTTTGTTTATAGTAATGTAGTTGGCACATAAACATGTCAGATATAGATCCAGAAGCTGATGCTTGATTATGATGATTTTTTAACATTAAAATAATTGACATTCAGTCATCTTGTATCTGTCCATATTGAGAGATATTGCTCTGGAGCAGCAATAATTAAAATAAAATGGCCACCAGTCGGCCATTTTGAATTAGATCTAAAAAACAAAATGACATGCATCAGGGCCCCATAATGTCCAATATATATATACCAATTTTGAACAAAATCCATCTGTAAACAGCCAAGATCCGGTCTTGGAATGCCAGAAATGATCGATTTCAGTACAAAAATGGCCACCATTCAGCCATCTTAAATCAAATCTTGAAACAAATTTACGTGCATATGTATAATATTATGTCTGTGTGAAGTTTGAATGTAATCGGTCAAGGCATGTCATATAAGATATAGCAAGAAAGCTTTGCAAGAGTAAATACACAAGTCCATTTTGCACAAATAATACTTCATGTACTGTATTAATCTTAATGTCCCTTATAGAATAATATAACTTGAATCAACATATATAACATATACAGCAACATATGTAAGCAAAATTTGGCAAGAAAAATATTAGCCAATATGTTCCCCAATTAATACTACATTATACTGTTACAGTATTAATCTCAATGTACCTTATAAAATAATATAAGGTTATTACGAAGGTACCTCAAAGTATGCACGAAGACAGTACAGCTGCAGTATCGACCGACGCGTACGGAGGTCGATGCGACAGCGTACTGTCTAAGTGCATACTTTGAGGTATCTTCGTAATAACCTTATTATTATACATCTTTTCCCTTCAAGGATACATCATGGAAATGCCGAAATCCAAAAAGTTTAGAACAGAATCACCAAACTTCTTTGTATGGAGTCCGGTCAAATCTTGGTGGCAGCCATGTTTGTTTTTATTATTCGAGGACGCTTACGCGCGTAATCATTCCATATTTGGAATTCGCATTTCCAAATATGGTAGTATGAAAATACCCGGTAAAATAACACAAAATTACGGCACGCTGTAACTTACGGCGTTACGGTGATGGATGTATAATAATATAAAATAATAATAAAGTTCCTAAATAATAGTGCAGTAATATATTTAAGCAAAATAAATTACTAGCCAGATTTGAAAAAGCGTGAAACGCTGCACTTTTTGATATATACTACACTTATTTATTTGACAATTTTTTAGAGCTGTTAGTTACTCACATCTGGTTGTCATTATCAGCAGTATAAAAGCATATCATGAAAATTGCACTTGCTAGTCACACTGAAATGGAACTTGGTTGTCATTTCATAAATTGCAGATGATCAGATAAAATTTGTTTAAGTTATTGTAACCACAAGAAAGTTTTAATACAGAGTCAATGATGACAACAACAACAAGGCCAGATATTTTCCCCTCATATAAATTGCCTTTCATCTACAATGATACACACAAGGTAATAAAATAAAATAAATTCATGATTAATCTTTATAACCCTGAAACACACAATGTTTTGAATACACTATGATTTTCATTATCTGTGTAGATACAGACACATGCCCACATCAGTAGATACATACCAATCAGAGACTTGTGTTCATAACTCTTCTCAATCCAAGCAGTAGATACAATGTGCTTACAGACTGATACACCAGCTAGAAATTTTGTTGTTCGTGTTATCCCTTTTGATACAAGATGGGTACAATTTTTAATATTGGGAGAAATCTGCCCTCCAAGTTCTTTTAATTTCTGTAAAAAAGCAGACAAATATGAAGTTCTGGTTTGTTAGTTTGAAGTGAGATTCATTATATAGAGCTGCATTGTTGTCAATTTCTTTATGTATTTTATAATGTTCATCAAAAAATTTTTCCCCAAATGTTATTTTGATATTACAGGCTAATTACAGGCTGCTCATGCTGAAAATAACCAAGACTCGACTGACTGCTTCATATGGTGCGAAAAGTTGTTTTACTTTTCGACAATCCGTGGGATTTAAACATCACAAAAAGCTTTGACAGCTCAAAACCGCAAAATTAAATGTTTTTACAGTATTTTATGACATCATTAACAAGTCATTGAAAATGACACAGTCCCAGTTAAATTTTTGAAAGTTCTCTTTGTGCTCGTCATATTAAAGCGGAGGGGTTGTCGCGAACGTGTCCTTGAAACTTGAGTTCCAAGTGGCGTATACAACAGATTGTTTATTTACGTCAAAACACATGTTTCGTGTAGTAGTAATATGGCCAAAAATAAAAACGGCCGTTATTAGGCCATCTTTGATCTGATTATGAAACACACTGATATGTATGATGTATGTGCCAAATTTGAATGAAAATGGTACATAAATTGTGAAAATATAGTAGTAAGGCCAAAAAATCAGATGGCTGCCAATCGGCCATCCTTGACCAGATTTTGAAACAAATAGTCATGGACATGCATCCTAACATGTATAAAGTACATGTATGTGCCAAATTTGAATGAAAACTGACAGAGCACGTGCAAGATACGGTAGGAAAAAACAAAAAAACCAGATGCCTGCCAGTCGACCATCTTTGATCCAATTGCGAAATAAATCGTCATGGACATGTATCCTAACATGTATAATCTATGTACCAAGTTTGGATGAAAACTGACAAAGCATGTCTAAAATACAACATTTTCAAAAAACAAGATGGCTGCCAGTCGGCCATTTTGAATCGAATCGCTAAACCACTGCATGTGCATATATCCCACATAAAGTACTAGGCACATGCGAAGATTGAACGGAATCGGTCCAAGGGATTCTGAGATATGACTCCGAACGAACGCACGGATGCACAGACGCACGGACGGACGGAGACCGAATTATAAGTCCCTGTTTTCGGACTTTGTCCGAGCGGGGACTAACAATTCTAATATTGTTTTTCTGCTTTGCATTTTTTATAAAGCAGTTCTGTCAAACACAAAATAGTTACAAAACTTGTTTTAGCAACAAGTTCCAAATATTCAACAATTCTACTGTCACTTGTGAGCCTCATCAAGACATTTATAGAAATGAATAAACAAACACATAAATTAACTAATTAATAAATAAATAAATAAATGAAAATATCACCTGCGTAAGATTCTCAACACCTACAACATCTATACCAGTAAAAAGCACTCTCGGTTCACAGACTGGAGATCCATCTTCTTTGCCATTTAATCTGTCAAACAAATACAACGTCATATTAGAACAACTTCCCTTGTTCACATTGATGCAGAAGCGCCATAACATAAAATCCTGTCACTGAACGACGTGTTGCATATTACGAACGTTGTACAGCCTTCATGCATACTTCACTGTATTCTTGTGATACTCTCATAATACTGCAAATACTTTAAATGTTCCTGTAACTTGTCATCTAGCTTGAATTAGTTATTTCAAACATATATACTAGTATTCAAGTCAGACATGATTAACCTCCCCAATATGTAATTGTGTAGTGTTGTTGGTGATGAAACCTACATTGACATTTTGGCGAGATATTCAAGGTAATATTAGGTTAATTATATAATAATTTAGAATACAGTAGAACGTTGATTATCCGGACGTTGATTATCCGAAATGTTCAGTTATCCGAACCTACTGTGTGTCCCCCAAAGTTTGTATGCAGATCTGGCTGTGTTCGGTATAATACAAAAGTCAACTGTGAACAATAAATACTACAGTCGTCTTGTGTGATTTCCTGGTGCAATACTTTCAATAAAGCTGTTATCAACATGTAATCCGACGTCTTTCATGTGTACGTTCATTGTTTACAGTGTCTGCGCAAACAATGAAACGAATTACAGTATCCAATAATTTCCTAAATTCAGACAAGCCTATTATGCAACGCCAGTGTTCCACTGTAAATAAAAAATGTCCTAAAAACACAAACTTCACATCAAATGTCTTCTCCACTGTTTACAGTCAGATCCTTAACTTTACCAAGTTGTAAGTCACCGCAGTTCGGATACGTTTCCCGGGAAAACTGTACGGGGTTCCACTGCCGTCAAAGAAACTCAGCCATGAGCCGATCCCATGTTTTTTTTCCGATTTTTAATTTTAATATCCAGTATCAGAAGTCACATTTTCAGAATAAAAAAAGAAAGAAAATAACTTCTGGGATGTCTTGCCACAGAAGCGACGCCATTTTAATAGTGCAGTGAAAAAGAGATTGACGAAACGACATAACCTTGATGTTCCTCTTTGATGGTTTATCAGCAGACAACGGCAACCAATGACCACAGTCGGCGGGCCGTTTGATGGTTCACTGCGTCAAAGTGTTCATTTCCGGTGATCACAGTAGCCAACCTGGATTTTTACAACAATTTATTATGTCAATCGTTCTAGGTGTTAAAAACTTTGCTGAATCCAATAAAATCGGGACATCTTGCAGCAGTTTACCATTTGAAAATCCACGAGCAATCTGGTAACATCGAGCCGATTTATACACAGCGAATACGAAGCGACCTTTCACCTGTTTACTTTATCAGCGTCTTTTATCTAGCGTTGGCATGACTACCCCAGTGAAACACAAACGCAGTGTGCTTGATTTGGACACGAAGGTGTCAATTATAAATCGACTAGAACGTGGGGAAACTGCAAGCAATCTATCTACTATCTATCTACTGTTGGTAAATCGACGATATCCGATATCAAGGCAAAACAAAAGCTGGATTCAAGTGCAGGATTTAAACGAAAGATAATGAAAACAGCCAATGACGATCGTTTAGAGAAATCAGTCTTCACTTGGTTTTTCCAAGAAAGAAGCAAAGGAACTTTATTATCGCTACATTTTACGGACATTTTGAAACATTTTTTAACATTCCAGCGTGCAATTACAAAGTATTACTTTTTAAAATTGCAAATGATTAAATAAAAATGTGTTTAATGACGTACTCTACATGCGCTATTGTTTTATTTCATTACAGTCATGTGCGTTGGAATTTGTGTGTACACGAGCCTGTAAATTTGAGCACGCCCACACAAGATCGCATATCTGAACTGTTTGCATAACCGAACAAATCTATCTACTATCTATCTACTGTTGGTAAATCGACGATATCCGATATCAAGGCAAAACAAAAGCTGGATTCAAGTGCAGGATTTAAACGAAAGATAATGAAAACAGCCAATGACGATCGTTTAGAGAAATCAGTCTTCACTTGGTTTTTCCAAGAAAGAAGCAAAGGAACTTTATTATCGCTACATTTTACGGACATTTTGAAACATTTTTTAACATTCCAGCGTGCAATTACAAAGTATTACTTTTTAAAATTGCAAATGATTAAATAAAAATGTGTTTAATGACGTACTCTACATGCGCTATTGTTTGATTTCATTACAGTCATGTGCGTTGGAATTTGTGTGTACACGAGCCTGTAAATTTGAGCACGCCCACACAAGATCGCATATCTGAACTGTTTGCATAACCGAACAAAAAGCATGTCCCCCTAACAGTACGGATAATCGACGTTCTACTGTACTTTATTTTTGCTTGGAATCAATTTTTGCTATTTCGCTGAAGGAATGATTCAGTGAAAATAAAATCCAACAAATATACCTTTTTTTTCTATATTTTAAATTAAACTTGTCAAAAATCAGTGAAAATAAATTCCATACAGAACATTCAAAAAGTCTTTTCAGCGAAAACTAATTCCAGCTAAAATAAATTATTTTACAGTATTTGAATATTGCCTCGATTCCTGGTACATGTTTTAACATTGCCAAGACATAATTCTAAACATTAACAAAATTGGTCTTATAAAAAATCTCTAATGCTCTGCCAATATAGGATTGAAAAAATCTGAAAATGGTTATGCAAATTAGGTTATTAATATGCACAGGTTTCAACAAATCACTAAAAAGGGTTACCGATTATTCCATAACATGTATGTACCAAGTGAAATTTGATTAGTGGTTCATGAGATATTGGTTGACTAAATTGAACAGTTATTATACAAATAAGGTATAATTACGCACAGATATCAACCTAAACCTAATCAGAATTGAACTTGATCCCAGAGCATACACTTTAAATATTTTTTGAAGACCGTGGGGTTCTCCCCAGGACTGTTCCCAACTGTTTCATTTCAGATAAACAATAGAGCCAATTTACCAATGAATACAATAAAGGGGATTAACATATTGTTGTTATGCAAATTAGCCAATACTCAATTCTATATTTCTGGGGGGAACACTTGACTGTCACAACATACCGTGATCTCTTAGCAGGGTTTTCAATCTCATCAACGGCATTTCTACCACTTCCATTCATTTCATGATTTGCGTTGTTGGCACTTCTGATATCATCTGATCCTTTTAAATTTGTACTTGGTTTGAAATTCTGCAATAAGATTAAGATAAGAACAGTGTACACCATTACTGTTTATCTGGTCAAGTCAATGTAAAAGTACATTGGGCTGGCAGGACAATGGTTAATCTTTTCCTATTAGACATTTTCTGCATTCTTTTCTTATATTCTTTAATATTTCTGGAAGTGAACCCTAATTTTGGAGCCAACAGACAATATTGTAATCAATTTTCAGTTTTTACTGGAAAAATAATTTGGAAAGAGCGTTCAGACTAAACGGGACTATTTTGTGAATTTGTGATGAAAAGAGGAAACTGGTGGTGAAAAGGTTGATCTAAATTATTTAACACAAAAATTTCTGTAATAACATAAGATGGAGTGATTATGGTCGTCCAAATAGACAACACTGGCTGTTGTAGCCATCAGTCATTTAAACAAGCAGCCTCTCGGCTAAGATAGCTCTACTGTTAGTTTTCAAGAAGAAGTCGAAAAAGTTGATGCGAACACTGGAGTACAACAACTAACACGATGAGCTCTGCTCGATGAAGTCAGCAGCGGAGCTAATAAACAATATTTTAAATTGACAGACAACCATAAATATCTCATTATTTTCCCGACCAATACCATGTCAAATGTACAAGTTAGTGATCCACAACAAAATAATCAAACCTCCATGTAAAGACCATGGATGGTCATACTCATGACCGTTTAACTTAAAGGCCGGTAGTGGTCGTGCAAAGCATGCGCGAGATATATGGGTCTCATACATGTATAAACACAGATGGCGACTTTTACTGTTATGCAGATCAACGAGTACCAACTGAGACGTTTCCAAGCTTTAACTAGGTATTTTTTAGGCGAGTGGAAGGTATCGAAAGAGTCACAGGCGGTTATCGGTGCAAGTCGCGCCCAGGCCAACCCTCATACTTGTGATATTCATTTGAAGAGCGCATTGGATTGTGGGAAAATCAATGTTTATCAACACAAATAATGCACACATGTGGCGCAACAACTACCACCCTTTAAATTAGGATGATATGACTGTCATTTGATAGCATATGATCAAACAAAACATAACTAAATTGAAAGATATCTAGTATTGCTTTGGAAAAATTTTTGGTGTTCGGAAACATGTCACTTTGTCATGTTGAGCTAAATAATTACAATACTGGTTGTCGCTGAAGGAATGATTCAGTGAAAATAAAATTCTGCGAATATATCTTTTTTTCTATATTTTACATTCAACTTGTGAAAAATCAGTGAAAACAAATAACACCCAAAATGTCTTTTCAGCTAAAATAAATTCCAGCTAAAATAAAGTATTTTACAGTACACATTTCTAAACACGAGTGATGAAGGAGCCCTTTTGCCACACAAATGCGTACATGTACTTATACATGCACAGGTACACCTACCTTCAGTGCAGCTTGTGATATCTTCAGTGGTGATGTCCAAGGACCTGTGATAAAACAATATAGATCACAACTTTAAAACGAAACATTTTTCAGAAGACAAATTAATGCTAGCCAGCCAACTGTTTCTTTTTGAAGTTGTTCTCATCAGGGACTTTAACTGGGCATCATTATCTTAACAGTTTCAAAAGCTTTCGTGATATTATCCTGGAATAGGTGATAACGATCCAACAAAATGAACTACCCATTTTTTGTGTTCAAATTGACTACACATGTACATGTTGCTATGCGCAGTATGAAACCTACCGTATATAAAGTAGAAAGCACACTAATTGCGATGATAATACTCACCAACTCGACATAATACCCACCAACTCGACATAACGCCCTAGTACTCTACATAACTCCCAACTACTCGACATAATGCCCACTTACTCGACATAATGCCCAACTACTCGACATAATGCCCAACTACTCGACATAATGCCCAACTACTCGACATAATGCCCAACTACTCGACATAATGCCCACCTACTCGACATAATGCCCACCTACTCGACATAATGCCCACCTACTCGACATAATGCCCACCTACTCGACATAATGCCCACCTACTCGACATAATGCCCACCTACTCGACATAATGCCCACCTACTCGACATAATGCCCACCTACTCGACATAATGCCCACCTACTCGACATAATGCCCACCTACTCGACATAATGCCCACCTACTCGACATAATGCCCACCTACTCGACATAATGCCCACCTACTCGACATAATGCCCACCTACTCGACATACTGCCCACCTACTCGACATACTGCCCACCTACTCGACATAATGCCCACCTACTCGACATAATGCCCACCTACTCGACATCAGATTGGACACTACAAGTAAGTGTGATTCATAGCACATACACATAAACTAATTGAAACGAACAAACAAATAAACACATACCCATGAGAGGATTATTGAAAAAGTAATCAAGTTTGAGTGGTTCATCTTGGTCATACATTTGAAACCGGGGCACTCCCATGTTGCGTAGAGCATCAATATATCCCAGCGCTATGTCACTCAGCCACTGGGCATTGACGATGTTTGTTCTCCATTCTTTGGCCTTCTCATACTTCGCACCTTCAAGTCGATTACAAACGAGTACGGTATTGCCTTTGGTAAAATTTCCAGTGTATCGTGCACCTATTATTTCTATGAGAATCTTAATGTCATTCCTCTCTCTACCTTCAAACCCAGTAACCGCCATGACCTATATGGCAGAACACAAAAGACAAAACTAATATATCAAGTGGTCATCTTATACCATAATCCCTGAGTTGCAATAGATGGCACCCTCTCAACAGCTAGATGCAACCCAGCGGTAATCCTATTTTTACTTGCAAATGATTTAAGTATGTCAGTATATAGCATATATGTTATGCTTCAGTGTTCACAGTTCGATGATTGCCACTACAATTTGATACTACCGTACATGTTCGACTCAGCGCCCATGTTCAACTAAGCGTCCATCCCCCACTTCTGAAGTATTTCTGATGTCAGGTTCACGTTTGGCTTGGCGTCCACCCCTTCCAAAATGCTTCAAATTTGACTGTCTAATCGGTAAACCTTGTCTTTGACTGTTACAGCCCTGAACCATGGTAAATACTTCATTCCATTTTCAGTTTAGTTTTTGAGAAAAAAATCATGCCATTTTTTGCCAAAATTAATTCCAACAAATAGTACTTCGACATTGATATTTCACTTCCGCATTGCATTGCCAGAACACCTTTGAGAATTCCTGGAAAATTGCGTTAATACAACACATTCTGATTGGTTGATAACAGACATGACCCATTAGGTCAAAGGACGTTGTTGTTGGTCAAATCATGCGGGAAAACATCATGGCAGAAATTGCTTTGCATCAACATTTTGCGTACAATCAAAAATATTCAAAGAAGATAAATGATCGTTTTCTTACAGACCCTAATAAATTTACACAGTAAATTCTGATGGTATGTAACTAATCATGTAATAAAATGTGCATATTTTTTTGATCATTTCTGTTTCGTCATTGTAAATGTGATGTGGAAATCAATGACAATGCAACTCATTTTGCAATTTAATTTTAATTTCACCAAAAAAGACGTACTGTTCCTCATAATCTGATACATGGTGGTGAACAAAAATTGTCTTTTGGCCAATTTTCTAAGTAGGGTGCTTGACTATAAAGCGTACCCCCCTAAAAAACATGATAAGCTGAGTACTGTGTGGGTTGAGTCAGATGAGTATGGTAATGAAACAGAAAATGTTTTATAAAAAAAAGAACTCATAGATTGACAGTTATTGTCGCTTTAAATAATTTGAACTTTCGGAACATTCATATTTACACATAGCTGTACGCTTTATTATTTAGCTGTAATCATTGTCAATTTGCATATTTAATAACAATTGTCAAGATGACCAGGGAAAATATATTAACATGGAGTTACTAAAACCTTACAACACAAACCAAAACATGAGGGGAATATAACACATTGTTTTGAATGAAGGTCAAAGTTCAAGACTAAGACTTACATGATCTTTAGATGGAGAAGGATGTACTGGGTATACAGTTGGAAGATGTAGCGCCCTCCATGGTGGGGACATCTTTTTTTCAGCCACACAGTCATTCAACCAGTGTCCGGTCACTACTCGTTTACCATCTTTCACTGCCTGTAATCAACAATACAATTACATACAATAATGTAAACAATTTTATTATTATCAATATCAATTTCTGAAATTTAATAATTTGTGAGGCATTCAAGAATGAACTGCTGTCTATATGTACTATATTACTTTATTTTAGCTGGAAATTAATTTTATATGAAAAACCTTTTTGGATGTTTAGTATGGGGTTTATTTTCACTGATTTTTGACGAGATGAATGTAAAACATAAGAAAAAATGTATATTCACTGGATTTTATTTTTACTGAATTATCCTTTCAGCAAAAATAGCCTAAATAAATTCTAAGCGAAAATAAAGTATTTTACAGAAGATAAAGCAGCAAATGTTGGCTCTTCTGGGATATAAAGTCTGAACAATTTGAAGGGTCACATATCACTCATGGGATCCAACTCTGAAAACTAAATGAGGGCACAACTACAGACCAATGCCCAGGTGAATATATGCTAATAAGACAACCAATGAGACTTACCAGCTTAAAGACGTCAGTTTTCTGTGTATCACACACCACATGTGTGATTCTTTCTGAGTAGCATTCATCTACAACTCCACTGAATTTGACGATCACCTAATAATAACAAATATATGCAAGTTTGAATCAAAAAAAGTTACAAAGAATTTCTGTATGCTAAGGAATGTTGGCAGCAAAGATAGAAGTCACACAGTGTTTAGGAATTGACAACGGCAAAATTATTTTAAGAAATATATAAAGTTTGAACACAAGTCAAAAATAAGGGGCCATAACTGCATTCACTAAAACAAAATGGCCACGAGTCGGCCATTTTGAGTCTGTGCATTACAGACTATGAAGTTCAATGCACTCACCAAGTACAAAATCTGTTTTGTATGAACATGATCTTTTTACGCAATAGCAAAAATGAATTTTTAACATTAAAAACAACCGCAATTTGGCCATCAAATGTATAAATATGCACATGTCAGACATGATGTATATGTAAAGTTTGTAGTTCCGGAACTGCATTCAATTAAAAAAAGGTCACCAGTAGGTAATTTTGAATATTGCGTTGGGGTATATGTTTTTCAATGTTTATACCAAGCTTGAAGTGAAACTTCCATACATATACATGACCAAAATCTGATTCAGAAATGGTAGAAATGATGATTTTGGCATCTTGAAATCTGATCATTAAACAATTATATGAATTTGTGTGACATGATGTATGATTATTATGAAAATTAGGTCATAATAAAATAGGGCAAAAAAATGTAAAAAATTCTATGGAAATATAATAAATGCTTCTTGAATTATAAAAATTACAATATTTATATGCAAGAATTTCAACCCCAATTCAACAAGACCGTGGCTGACTTCAACCAGCTGGACTATTCCTAATCCTATTCATTTGTTTCGACAAAGTGCCTAAAAATATTCACACCTCTTTATTGTTAAGCAGTGATAGGATGTCAGACACGCAATGAAACTACTTTTGTTCTTGCGACAACCTTTGTCAATACTCCTTAAGAATACGCCTGTGTCGCAAGTTTTCGACAATTAGCTGTTATCACCGTAAAACTGTTAAAGCGCAGTAGTCGTCGCGCTGCGCATGTTCGAAATTTGTGTTGATAAACATTGATTCTCCCACAATCCAATGCGCTCTTCAAATGGAAATCACAAGTATGAGGTTTGCCCTGGGCGCAAATTGCACTAATTACTGCCGGTGACTCATTCGATACCTTCCAATCACATGAAAATTACCCAATTAAAGCTTGGAAACGTGTCAGTTCGCACTCGTTGATCTGCGCAACAGTCAAAGTCGCCATCTTTGTTTATATGAGACCCATATATCTCGCACATGTGCAGCGCGACGACTACCGAGCTTTAAATTCTTTTTCAATGCTCAGTTTATCTTTTGAAAACAGCTAATTTCTTGATTTAAATAAAAATCATGTCGTTTTCCCACAGAAATAAATACCAAAAGATTGCACTACATTATCGTAAATCTCTTCCCTGTTGCATTCACCATGAAGTCACCGAACTGTCATTAACATATTTAAATGAGCTAAGGTAGTTTGAACACGTGGGCACCATCCAGCATTTCAGGGTTCTCCCCAGGGCTTTTTAGCGCCGAGGTCCGCGGCGCTATACCTGTGAATCTCGGCGCTTCACTTGGGACCTCGGCGCTATGTGTTCCCACCTCGGCGCTTGATTTCATATTTGACATGCCAATATCAGATGTGAAAAAGCTTTGTTCGCCACGCCGGTCGGCCCCGACCGTCACTCAAAATTAGTGACCACCACGGAA